ATCAATAACATGAGTTTTAGAATCTATATTAGATAATGGTCCTGACATCATTTGAGATTTTCAGAAAATGTATCCTGAATTTGCAGAGCAAGTAGGCTAATGCAAATCCAAGTGTTATGGTTTTCTACACAATTTTCCCGCGAAGTTGGCGGAAGTTAGTCAACCTAACCTTTGACCTACAACGAGTTTGGCTATAAGGACTTCGGATTTTTCTTTTTGTTCAGATTTCTATTAACACCGTAAATTTGTGCTGGGAATTTGTTATGATCTCGGACAGTAATATTGCAGTTTCTCTAGACTGATAAATAAATTTATGCTGGGAAGGCAATAGGAAGGAGTCGGTGAATTTAAAGGTCGAATGCCACTATTTTATCGAATTTCTCGAATATATCCCTAAATCGATCCCTATGCCTAACCAGAACCCTAAATAGATCCCTATGCCTAACCTGAACCCTAAATCGATCCCTCAACCTAACCTAAACCCTAATTCACTGCAACTATAATAAACACCGAAAAGACGCCGTGGCATTCGTCCTTTCGATTAGCCCTGGAGTCCTTTAAAACTGATTTAAAAACTTACCTATTTCGCAAACACCTTCTGGAATGATGTTGACTACCATCTTTTTCCACTTAATGTATTTGGTTTGTGTTGCTAACGGTTGAAATGGGATGAAAGACTTTGACTTGATATGCTCGTGTGTAGTTTTATATTGTTGCGTCTGTTTTTAAATGTGTTAAATTTTAGATTGTTTTTTATTTCTCTTTTTAATATGGTTGACTTTGTACCGCGCTTCCAGCTTTTGTGGATGAAGCGTGTTTTTCAAATAAACTTTATTATTATTATTATTATTATAGAGATGTAGCATTTAAGGGGCCATGCACGTATTATCTAACACAAAAATATTATATTTGTTTACCTACACCTTTTAACGTTACAAGTTATGTAACATTTCCATGAACCAACACCCTCCTAATACAACATTTCTAGTGAACCACCCCCACCCAGAGGCGTAGCGTGGTGAGGGCAGGGGGGACAGATGTCCCCGGGCGACAGTTAGCTAGGGGCGCCAGCTAGTTAGGGGCGCCAAAATGTGCTTTGATATTATTTTATTGATGAAAATAATGGGTATGAGAGTGGAATAAAAGAAAAAGGGGCGCTAAAAATGGATCTTGTCCCCGGGCGCGAATCTTGTCCCCGGGCGCCAAACACCCTCGCTACCCCACTGCCCCACGCCCCAAATAAAACTGAATGCATACAAAAACATGCAGAAACAAGCAAATTTCAATTTTTTAAACGCCAGAATTTGTTTTTACAAAAATGTGCTAATTATTATTGTAAGTTGTAAGCAAAAAATACATTTAAGATTTTTATTTTATTAATCAAGGCTTATTTCATAAATTTAAACTGCAGAAATTAAGCAAAAATTTTAATTACATTTTTAAAAAATAATAATTGTTATTACCAATCATCACCTACCCCCAACCCAAATAATAGGCCTACAAAAGCAAAATCATAGACCACCTTCTACCCCATTCGCGCAATACAACTTGTGCACGGTCCTTAAATAAAGCCCATGAGCCCACCGTCTCCACGTCGATAAATAAAGTAGGCCCTTTGGAAAAATATTACCTCATTGTCACATGCGAGTTTGATTCTCCTGAAATAAATTAACATACACGCTATTGGCGTGTTGATCTACGACGATACTCGTAATCCAGTGTTTCCCAACGTGAGGCATATTTTCCAAAGCCCAAAGAGTGTGGGGTGGGAATGCAATTTGAAGAATATTTAAGAGGACCGCGGCGTCGGTTTATCTGCACTGCCGAGTCAATAGTGAACAAAGTCCCAGAAAAAAACTACTGTTTGCGCTTATTATGTATGCAAATAAAGATTCTGGTATTTCATTGGGGGTAAGTAAATCAGTTGTCCATTTCAATTTGGATCGGACAAACTTGAAGTAGCCTACCTCACAACAGATGGTGGTATCAGGGGCGTAGGTAACTTTTTGACAGTGGGTGGGGGGAGGACTCCAACCTTAGCCATCCTTCAAACACTCATACCGCTGTGACCGCTGTGCTTTACAGCTTTATAAAACGTAAACATTTTTTACCCCAAGCAGGGTCTCCAGACCCCGGCACCACCCCAGCCAGCTACACCATTGTGTGGTATGTAGCCTACTGTGAATTGAAAGGTTAAATTGGACAAATTTACAAGGCTGTTTAAAGAATTGGCTATTCCAAGCATGTGGTTCTTCTTTCTTTTATTCATCAACATGCATTGTGGGCAAAATAACTGGGAAAAAAACAGGGTGATGCTTGAGAGTATTGAATTGATGGTTTTCATTTTGATCATGAGCCATCAAGTAAGTCGCAGGTCACAGATATTATTTAGGCTGTTAAATCATAGATTCTGCTATTAGCGACCATTTTTTAATGGTTTCCATTCCCAAACTGACAACTTTGTATAATGAGATTACTGAAAGTGAACTTTTAATTGAAATACTAAAGCTAGAAAGGCAATGAAGCTCTTCTTATATTGTTCTAAAAGCCCAGTATTAGGTCAATATTTAAAGAAGAAGAAAAATATGAAAAACTTCTTTCAAGTAGTAAAGAACACACAGATTACGCAACACTTTAGGAAAGAACACAACAGTTTTCACAACACATTAGTAAAGAACACAGTTTTCACAAGACTTAAGTAAAGAACGAACAGTTTTCACAACACTTTAGTAAAGAACAAACAGTTTTCACAACACTTTAGTAAAGAACACAGTTTTCGCAGCACTTAAGGAAAGAACACACAGTTTTCACAACACTTTAGAAAGAACAGTTTTCACAACACTTTAGTCAAGAACAAAGTTTTCGCAGCACGTAAGGAAAGAACACACAGTTTTTGCAATATTTTAGGAAAGAACCCAGTTTTGCGGCCCTTGAGTTCAAAGTTGGTACTGTAACTTTTCCCACATCACAACTTAGGATCCCTTCAATATTCAATGCCCCCTGCAGCAGCTAGGTTGGCAGGGGGGCCATGCATGCGGCTATACATTGAACAATAATGACCACTTACATTTGTGTTTCTAAGGTGTCATTGGCTACCAGCATCCACCCACAGCCAAAGGACTCCCTATATTTTTTTATGGAATGTTACTACTCAAGTTCATACCAAATACGTCATCATTTTCCTTTCAAACAACCTTGCACAACAACTCAAACCAACAAAAAGAATCAAATCAAATATACGGAGTTCAAATATTTTATAATAAAATACTTAACACCACGAATACAGATAAAGATTTTACATAACAAACGCTTGAAAAAAAGAAGTTGTAAAAGAAGTTGTAAATAAGATAAATTCAGGTAAATAATACTCCTTCTTTCACTTTCTCGTACAAAAATATATTCACTTTATGGCATTCAAAAATCCTTCCTAGGGATTTCTAATTTCACAGAACTTTTTTTAAATATGCTGTTTGATTTGCATCTCATATTTTAAAACTATGGATATGAAGTTATTTTTTGTAGCATTTGTCCATTTGAATTTGTTCCCTCTCAATCTCAGTTTGGTAAAACTGAATGTGAGTCTGGTACATATAATTCAGTACCGGTATCAAATTCCTTATTTCATGTAACTAAGCTAAATTTCTATATTTAAAGACTGTTAAATTTTAAGCTTGAATTAGGCTGTCAGTGATATTTTCACAACTAAAATTATAATAAATTTTTCCTTTACTTAGCTGTAGATGGTCAGAGATTTCGGTCATTAATCAGAAAGTAGATTCAATTTCAACTCAAGTGAGAAGTATGAATACTCTTTCTATCAACAAATACTCAACACAGCAAATGCATTTTCTGACCTTGCATGTTACCCACCATTGGCTTATCTTCCCAAAATTTCCCCTTACACACACACCTAGTAAATAGTGATGGCAATCAACGTAGGACAACCCAGGAAGGTAACCCCCTTCAATCCTTTTACTCTTAAGTACCTCACTGTTCCTGGTTTGAACCCTTAAAATTCTGGTAAGCCAATAAGGATATGTATGATACGAGGATATGTGTGATACCTAGACATGTACGATACCTACGATACCTAGACACAGGACAGAGAGGAAGATTAATGAGATCTTTTAACTAAATAGGTAAAACAAGCCATATCTTTACAGCAGTGCTGTCCAACCTTTTCGAGGCGACTGTGAAGCAGAGGGCAGCACCAGACATGTCAGTTGACAGCATTTTCATGAATTTAACAATTCTTCCATAGATTTTGACCTGAGAAAGGTTTTGACTTCTTGTCCACCATCAGCAAACCAATCAGGCCAAAATTGGTAGAGTTCCATCTCTTCTAACCAAAATGAATTCTTCCAATCAATGTATGCTATTTTTTAATAGAAACTCATGCAATGCCTTGCATGCATCCTCACCACATGCAGTATTTTAAATTGGAAGCAGTTTTCATCATTTTGATTTTACAAATAAAACTGCCGTCAAGAATCTTTCTCACTGAATTCCTCCCTAGCTCATTTGCACTAACTACAAATACAAACACAGCAGTATTCTATTTCTCGAATGTATCATTGCCGATATCTGTATCCTGACAGTTTCACCCTACGGGTATGGTTCACATTGCGGATTGTAGAAGAGGCAGGCACAACTATGGGATCTAATGCATAACTTTTGTTTATATTACCTATCAATTTTAAATTTATGTGGTAGTGCAATAGTCAGAAACCTGTGGCTGCATGTGGCTCTTAATATTAATAAATTCTGCTTTTTCCTTTTAAATATGATTTTTTTTACCAGTAACCACACTTACGAGGTAAAATTAAAACGTAAATTTAGAAAAATAATCGAACAAATCCATTTTTAAAAAAAAAGACATTGCTTCTCTAAAATCTTCTCAGGTTCAATAAAATAAAACTTGAAATTAATTTCGCAAATTTTTATCTCAGAACTACAAAATATGTCAGCTATCGCATACAACATTTAAATTTTGTAAACAAGTCAGCTGATTTTTTTTTTTTTTCATGATTTTTTAAATATATTTTTTACCACTCCATTTTCTATCGGTTGCTATCCCACTAACCTGCCAGCTGATACAAACGCACGCAAAATAAGGGATTGTTTCTGTATATTTGCCGGCAGACAATAAACTGTAACTATCAAGAGACCAGTGAAAATGAAACATGTTGGCCCAGTTCTTTGTTACAAGTAGCAGAAAGTTGAGAATGCAAGTAACAAACCCACAGCATGAATGTACCTTAACGTGTTTTAGTTTTATACAAATCTTACAAAACTCTTTGGCTTTTTTGTGCTATTGTTGGACAGCACTGCTTTACAGACTCACAAAAAGAAATACCTGATTACAGAATAAATAAGAAAAGAAAAGAAAGAAAAAGTATAAAATTACATGCATAACATTCATGAAAAGTAAAGTAATCACACAGCTGTAATGAGTATAGTTTTTTTTGCCAAAAGTGTAGATTTAAAAGAATTAATGCTGCTACTGCTATACAAAATGAGAAAGGCAATAATTTATTTCTTTAAAAAAATAAACACTCTATTTGGTTCTTAATCAATGTGATAACAAATAAACACAGCGCCATTACATTAAGTGTCAACTTTTGAAGACTTTACATTTCACAGTAGTAGAGTTAAACTTGTGAGTTATTGAACAAATTATTATGGCTTGAGAAATTACTTCTTATAATTCTAATGGCAATAATATATTGTAACAGTTTAAAAACAAATGTAAAACAAAAATTAGATCTAATTGCAATTTAAAAAAATGATCTATTCCAAGTTGCAATCTCATATTTAAATCTGTTACAACATAAAGGGAGTGTTGATGCTTCCTCAAGAAGTCACTAAGGTACTCAAAACATGCTTTACACAAACATATTTTATTCCTGTTTGTCTTAAGCTTCTTGATGAATTGGAGAGGGTTAATGAAAATCCCTTCCAAATAATAAAAATACAAACCAAGCCAAAATTCAATTAAAGATTTGTAATAGCACCATTGTATCAGAGGACATAAATGTCTTCATTTTCAATAAAATATTGCAAGACATTGTTATATAAAAAGTGGATGGTACAAATATGGAACTGGAACACTGACTTAGTAATAGTAGCTTTATATGTACACCTGCCCAAGCTGTGAGTTCTGTATACGGATTTCAATCCATTGTGTAAATTTGATGAAGTGTTCAAAACAAGCAATTGTAATAACTTAGTGAACTTAGTGGTTCTCAAAACTTTTCCCTGATCATGACTTCCCTGATCTTTTTAGTCCCCACATTCATTGGAAAAATAACTTTTTCATCTTGTTTTGGGGTAACTAAAATAGCCACATAAAAGGGACGCTCCCTAGGCACATAAAAAGAATGTCCACTAGCCATGTAAAAAGGATGCCCCACAGCCATATAAAGGATGCCTCATTTCATATAAATAGCACCCCGTGACACCTTACTACTTCCCCCAGCCCTATTACAGGACAGGTGTCAGACTCTTGGTTTGGAATAAATGCTTTATGTAACAGAGTGTTGCTCTCTGTACAGTCTGGTCTGTGACACAGCACATTTGATGCTAATTTCTCTTCACATGTATTAATATTAATAGATGGCCCAACACTTCATGAAGTACATTGTCAAATTAGTTAGAGAGGAATAAATTGTTAAAAAAGCATGCAGGAAGATAATCTCTGAACAGTATATTTTTTTAAATCTATTTTGGCAGATTTTTTATTTGATGCCTACATAATGTTCAGCCTTTCTAATTTAACACTATTTAACAATGAATTTTAAAATATGGCCAGCCATTGTAATTTCTTGACTATATCAAGTTTGTAAAATTATAATTACATGCAAACACTTTTTATCTTTAAATCCCATTGTAAAATATAGAACAGAGAAAGCTTAAAAAGTAACATCCCATTAATGGATTAAAAACATGTTTTCAAAAAATATACAAAACATTTAAGCGACTAGATTTGCAAATGCCATTCGGTACGATTGTAACAGCTTTACAACAGATATTTGGGTCAGTTAAGTTAAGGGTACAGATAACTAAAATAGTGGATCGGAAAACAGGAAGACACCTTGTTTTTAAAATCTTGTAACAAAATTGTATAAAACGAAGTCACCAATAATTATAAATTGGTAGCCTGTACAAATCAAAATTCATGCAAAAATATAAGTATGGCAATCACAGGTTATAAAGGTTATATAAATATGCTACTGTTGAAGAGGGGAACAATTGTGGTAGAAATTAAAACATTTACTAAAATTGCAAATATGATGAACAATGCCAGAATAAATACACATATGGACAAAGCTAGAAAAAATATACTGAACAAAGCTTGGAGTAGCTTTTATATTAATATACAAACACTAACAATGCAGACCTGTCAGCATTAACTCTGCTGTTCCAGCTTTAACTCAATCAATGCCCGCACTTCTCAACATCAATATGCCAGAGGCTGCTTGATAACACTTATCTAAGATAGCTTCTTTTTAATGATTTCCCTTTGCAATGGAAGTTTTGGACGGCATATCTCAATTCTGTATAACATGGAATTCTTCATGGATGTTGAAATCCATATAAGATCCATTTTCCTTGGGATGTTACATTTATTGTTGTACATGTAAAATAATTTCCTCCTTGTATTTCATGACATGACATTTGATGCATCTCATGCTTAAGAGAGGGGGAAATATTTTCCACAAAGATAAACCCACACAAAAAAAAGGGTGCTCTCGCACAGAAGTAGTCAGTTCTATGGGATGTATAATTACACTGAGAATAGTAACTCCGTAAAATAGTGGACAGAAAACAATCATAAATCATGGGAAAAGTTTTGTTCAATAATAAATTTTTTTAAATTTAAGCGGATTTTTCCTTGTTTTGGCACATTGCAACATTTGCATCATTGATCTGATAACATTATTAACTTGTAGAACTTATGGTGTAATGAAATGAATCTACTGCAAATATAAAACGAACTAAAAGTTAACCAAAAAAATAATGAATAAACTGTAAGAGTTAACAGTATATAATGAATAAGCGGGTTAAAGTTAACAAAATATCATGAATAAACTGTAAAAGTTGACAAAGCATTTTGTTATTCTCAGATCAAAGTATATTTCAGCCTATGAAAGCAAGCAAGCCCCCACCCCTTTCTGATATCACAAGGGGATAGTTTTCTATTCTGGTTGTGATGCAGCCTCTTTAATTGCCAAGACATTGTTACTGATGCTTTACAGATAAAGAATGTTTTACAACTGTAGCTGGAATTTCTTCAACTCTATAAACCCTGGTTTGAACAGCTGGAATTTCTAGGGACTCATCTGACATTTTCTGAGTGAGACTGAAAGGTCAACAGTAGAATTTACTGGTAAATATCCTGATAGTAATAGAATTCTTTAAGCTTCTTCCATGTTCCCCCAACACCTCATGCATACTTTCAGACAAATATTAACCAAATCAAAGTTCATCAACATCTCATACATTCTTTCAGACGTTAGAGTTCATCTTTAAAACTGGGTCTCTCTAAGTGTAGACCGCCGTCCATCTTGTTGAGATTCGCTTCTGGCCTGTCCATCTTGGACACACCCCCTCCGTCCACTGCCTTGTGACTCTGGCCTGCAGCACCTTTATCAATGATCACAGAGTCCTCGGTGTCAGATATGTAGTTAGGTTCCCCCGTGTAGTGGGTGGGGTAGAGAAGAAATGGCTCAGCAGAGAGACCTATCAGGTCCCTTGGGAAAAACTGAAACCGCCATTCATCCCTAGGGAAAACAGAACAAGAAATAATTCATCTCAAGATGTTTACAAGGAACAATCTAACTGTCTCAACGGATAGGATAATATACAATGTAAGTGTCTCAACAGATAGGATGATATACAATGTACCTGTCTCAACAGATAGGATGATATACAATATAACTGTCTCAACATATAGGATGATATACAATGTAATTTGTTTCAACATATAGGATAATATAAAGAGTGTGAACACATTTGTCACAATTAACCCTGCTGGGTGACAAAATGAGAAAGGCACGAGGCAAGCAAGCCAAGGGCACAAGGCAAACCAAAGAGTATAATTTTAAAAATTAAAAAAAACAGACCAAAGGCCAGAAACTTGTTACCTTAGGTCAGGGGGAATAGAGAATGGCTTACAGCTAACAGTGAATTATCAGCTACAGACATAAATACATCTTTTCTTCAGTGATGGTATATTAACTACAATGAGTTTTCAGCAACAGTAATGGTAAATTAAACGCCATATTGTTTAGTAGGGTAACCTGTCCCCGGGAAGCATCATCAGAGGGCTCCCACAATCATCATTTTTCATGCATATATGTTCACAGACCTGTTTACCCTCAAACTCTTAAAATCGTACAATACCTAATATTTATAGTAAAAAATAAACACATAGTATATATAATGTATACACCTCAAAATCATACATTGTACGCCAAAAATCATAAGAGTAAACAGGTCTGTGTTCATTAAGATATATATTTTGGGAAGAAACACAACTTAATTCAGGTTTTTAGAATTCAAATGACAATACAAAGCATTAAAAAACCAAACAACTGGTCCTTACTCTGGATGTCTGTCATTGTTCCTTACTATGGATGTCCGTCATTGGTCCTTGCTCTGGATTTCTGTCATTGGTCCTTGCTCTGGATTTCTGTCATTGGTCCTTACTCTAGATGTATGTCATTGGTCCTTACTCTGGATGACCATCATTGGTCCTTACTCTGGATGTCTGTCATCACTACCTATTATGGGTTTAAGTAACTGGTACTTACTCTGGATGTCTGTCATTGGGCCATTACTCTGGATGTCTGTCATCAGTACCTATTATGGGTTTAAGTTATTGATACTTACTCTGGATGTCTATCAAACATAATGGGAAGGTATTCATCCACCGGTATCATCTTGGATAAGGGCTTCTGTTCCAGCAGTTTTTTAGCCCCATGATTGGAGAGAGCATAGCTGACAGTCCAGTAGGAATAATGGGGCCAGGCTAATCTGTCGCTTCTATCAACCATGCTTTCCAGGTCTCGACGTAAACGTTTCCGTCCTAAATATCTGAAATTGAATATTAACATTATTTATGGCAACATTCAATTTAAATCAGGGCTTTTTTTTGTTATGATTACTGTGGAAAACTGTATTAATCTAAACTCAGATCTTATCTATAGTGGGGGTCTTGTGAATACGAGGTTTTATAATATTTTTTATTTGATCCAGCCTTGTTGCCACTAATGTGTCCCGATGCGCCATCCCAAGGTACAAATAACAGGTGGGCCCCAAGATAAGCCTTGATTACATGCAGATAGGATTGAGAACTTTGCAGCTGATAAATAAGACATTGTATTTGACTTTAAGTTGAATGCGGTTTTCACACTATTTCTCTACAGTGCTTAAATATATATTTTCCCTCTTAAAGAAAAACAAGTGCACATGACAGTCAAACTTCAGGAACACAATCTTATCATATTGAAATTCATATGCGGTCTCATTCCCCAAGAAGTAACACTTTAAAATATTTTGTTCACACATTTTGAAAATAGAAAGAAACAAACCTGCTCATGAATATACAAATTTCAGGAGCATTGCAATGGCTATGTTATAGCGGGATGTTGTCACGTAAAATATAACACTTTCGCATAAAGTTAAACAAAGGTGATTTGTTTTTCTTTTCAGAAATGTTTAAAAACTACCCTTCTCAATGTTATTACTTACACTAGATATACTACCCATCCAATTGTTATTACTTATACCAGATATACTACCCTTCTCATTGTTATTACTTTAAATACCCTACCCTTGTCATTTTTATTACTTACACTAGATATAATACCCTTCTCATTGTTATTACTTTAAATACACTACCCTTGTCATTTTTATTACTTACACTAGATCCCATACATCAAATGTGTGTTCAAGCTCATACATGAGATTAAATAGTTTTTTACGAAAGTAAGGCTCAAATCTGACATCATCTTCAAAGATGAGAATTTTTTTGTAGTTTTTCTCAACAACCTAAAAGAAATAAAATTTATAATTACAAAATATACATCATTTAAAAATTATTATGTTAACACTAAAAATAAAAAGTTAGCACTTGATACAAGTCTAATGCTTTGAAAAGAAAACAAGTCAACTTTCTTAAAATGAAGACAAGTCTAATGTTTTCAAATGATCCAAAATCTGTATTTAACATTCACCAGGTGATGTGAAGAAGTACGTTCCTCCAGAGACCTAGCCTTGTATAATTCAGTAAAAAATATAAACCAGTATTTGCACAATATAAAGTTATATTTATTTTTAAAATGGCCGCATTTGAATAATTTTTTCAATATTGATGTGCTTAAATTTTATTATCTTGTATCGTTAAAATGAAAAAGGTGTAATAATCTACATATTTTTTCAAATTTGGGGTTTGTTTGTTTTTCAATTTTTTTTACCAAATAAGTTTAAACCTTGCTTTTGATTGAAAATAGCATTAAATAAAAGATTTATTAATCATTGATTAATGTTACTTGACTCAGGTGCTAATGAAAGCCTCACAGCATGCCCCCACAAAAGCCTCACATCATACTCCTTACAGTAGTCTCACAACATGCCCTCACCAAAAGTATGCCAAACACCAAAGCCTCACACCATTCCTCCTCCCCAACAATAGCCTCAGAGCATGCCCCCAACAAAATACCCACAGCAGGCCCCAACAAAAGCCTCACAACATACCCCCAAAAAAACCATCTAGCATGTCCCCCCAAAATGCTTCACAGCATGCCTCAACTAAAGTTTGATAGCATGCAACCAACAAAGCCAGCATGTCCCCAAAAAAGCCTCACAGCATTCCCCCCCCCCCAAATAGCATCATAGCAAGCCAAAAAAAGGCACACAGGATGTTCCCACAAAAAGCCTCTACGCATGTCCTAAACAAAAGCCTCACAACATGTCCCCATTAAAAGCCTCACATCACCGGAGAGTTAATCTACTATCAAGATTAGAATATAACATACCTCTTCCCAAATTTTATAATGACTCAGGAAGCAACCTATTTCTCCCATTGTCATTGCTCTGAAGTAAATAGATATTGAAACAAAATTATGACATAAAATTTAAAAAGACATTGACAACAGACAATGTAAACAATCCCTATTAAAGTTTTACAATAAAGAAACAAGATAATATTTTCCTATAAATCTGGATGGCAATTTTTTTCTTTAACTCATTCCCTCCGGCAGCGCTGCTTCCGGACTTAATTTATTTTCCTGAGAAAAGGGAAGCAACTCAGTTTTGAAATTGATTTATATTTTTAAAATATTTTTTTAAGTTGCTAAATATTATTTAATGTTAATGAATTAAGAACAAATGCAACAAAAAATGAATAAGGTTTAATATAAATATAACATTAGCGGGGGAAAAATAACGAACAATGGCCAAAAAAATCGATTTTCGGCACCTCGGACGAACACATGGTACATATAGACGCGCCGTACTAAAGCACACGTAGTTTTAAAGTGAAACTAAAAACTTCCGGTTTCTAAATTAAAATCACGCAGAAATCACGCCATAGCCGGAAGTCTCGAGGGGTGCGAGATTTCATTGCTATTTTTAACTAAAAATAAGAGAGGTGTGTCGCTATGCGCCGGGACGCATTTGGACGCATCAGGAGGAACCCCCCGAGGACGCATTTAGTCGCAACCGTCGGGAATGAGTTAATTGTACTGGTTCATTTTCAGCATACTTGATAAAAGGATAGACAGTGAAAACATGATAATTTTCGAAACAATTTTAAACTAGGTCAATATAGTGTCAGACAATTTTATACTAGTTAAACAATTTTATAATTTTTTTTAACACAAAAAGCAGACTCTCTTATGCCCATGCTGTGTTTTAAATTACAGCATTGTCTAACACAGTGGTTCTCAACCTTCTTATGTCGCGACCCTTTTAGTACAGTTCCTCATGTTGTGGTGACCCCCAACCATAAAATTATGTTCGTTGCTACTAAATAAATATTAGTTTTCCAATAGTCTTAGGCGACCCCCGTGTAAGTGTCATTCGACCCCCAAAGGAGTCATGACCCACAAGTTGAGAACCGTTGGTCTAACAGATAGGGGAGATTAAATGGTAAAACCCTAATAATGAGACTTTATTTCAATGTTGTCAATATATTCATCAATGAATTTGAAGAGCTTCAAACGTGAAGTAAGGTTGGGAAACACCCTCTAAAAGATTAGTTAACTCATCGACTTTCGATAACTTTAAAATGAGCCAATATATTTTGACCAGCTACCAAAATCTCCAATAAACTAAACTTTTACTTCAATCACTGGCACAGATTGAAATAAACAATTTTTCCTACAATCATAATCAAACGGGAGAAATACAATTTAGTGATATAAAAACCTAGAACAAACCTTCCATGGTAGGGGTCAGCAAAGCCAGGCAACATTTTTATTCCTGATTTTTCTAGAAATGTATCATTCAACTCTCTGAGGGAAAAAAAAAATTTTTTTACAAATAATTTATAGATAAAACTCTTAAAATATTTTTCTTTAAAGAGCTTAGCTGTGATGCTATTAATGTTACGAATTATAACAGAGAGAACAAACTATGTAAAATGCAGGATTTTCTAGGGTAAACAAATGCATAAATGTTTAATGTTTTTTAGGATAAAGCATATACATATATTGAGGATGATCTTTTCAAGATTTTATTTTAAATGTTGATGTAGAAACTGCCTCAGTAAATATGAAACTTATTGATTTACACAAGAGTGTAAAGATAAAAAGAAAATCAGTGGACATCAGTGGGATTTGGTGAAATACATTGAGACTATTTAAATTCTTATTAATCCCTGCATTGTGTAAGTATTGAGGTACAAAATTGTCATTCCCATTAATTATAAAATATGCCTAACTTAAGTTTTAATGGAATTAAAATATCAATATTTAAACTTATACAAAGGCACAAAATCCTTTCAAAATGAATTAGCAATGTTGAAATGTGAGCAGATAGAAAATGTTGTTTAGAAAATATTGTTTAAACTCCACATCTCTGCTGATTCTCTACGCACTAATTACACAGTTTTCATAGTTTCTGCCAAACAATAAGAAACTGACTTACTTCCCATCAACAGCATCAACAATTTTGGCATCAATACCAAGATAATCAAATGCCTTCATCATCCGGGAGCGCCTGGCAGGCCGTCTCTTTAGGTTTATCATATATATCTGTTAGGACAAATACAGCAGAAAATCCAAATGAGATGTCATAATATATATCTGTTAGGACAGGACATAAACAGCAGAATTGCTAAATGAAATGTGAAGAAATTTAAAATATATATCTGTTAGGACAATCCAAATGGTATCTCTCTGTATATATATACTTTATTTTTTGGCATATACAGCAGCAAGGCCAAATGACATGTCAAGCAATTTAAATAGCTCAAGATTCTGATTTTTTTCCCCCAGATATTCTGTGAAATAATCATTAAACTTTCTTGTGTGAATCATCCAAAGCCCTTTGAATTTTGTTGGTGAAATGTCCCATAAATATTCAACAGTTTAACAAAAAATTTGTTTAAAATATCCCAGTTACTTTATAGCTTGAACATAATTACTATTTTACAATAAATTTACTTTTACAATTTGGAGACCATAATTGACAAAAAAATTTTTCTCCACAAAATCTTCTAAATGTTTTACTTTCAATTATTAGGTACACTAAATAGAACCTAGTTGAAATGATATTTGTTTTTTAACCTAAAGTTTACAATTCTTTTATGCTTTTCATCAAAAATATAAATTACCTCATCAAATCCTAACTTGTCTTTTGGCCTCTCAGGAATAGAAACATGTGGGGAGCTGTACAAGGGGGGAACTTCTTCAACTGGAATTCCAACAAAGATAAAAAATATAATTTTTTAAACTTCGCATAGTTATCAAAAGTTTAGTTCTGTCTTGAACAGAAAAAGTATTTGCATGCTTCAAAGTCCATCAAAGTCGATCCTTTTTTTAAAAGCAATACCATTTAATTATTTAGGCATGGAGGCAAAGCCCTTACCAAGCTACAGAATTAAAATATCTGAAATATTTAGGTTCTTGCTTCCAAGGAAGCTAGTCAACTTGTTTTGCTTTTTTTTTAGTTTAGTTGATGCATTTTAAAAGGAGATATTTTATGGCAGGATTCGAAAGCTTCTTTGTTCCATGTACCCCTCTGCCATTTAGATGAAGGCTACAGACCCTTTCTTAAAATAACATTTTTAAAAAGCTTCAAATTAATTTAAAAGGGAAACCAACTCAAGGGGGCCTCTGACTCCTTTTCACAGATATCCCAGGGGTCCAAAGACCATAGCCTTAGAACCCCTGTTTAAAAGGTTATATGTTATACTGCAAATTATTAACTGAATCTTCATACTCCCAATTTGTTAAAACTTTAAATTTTTATTATTTTCAAAAGTGTAAACATTTGAAAACAAAAATTATCATAATATCAACTGAAACTCAGATATACTGACCCATTGCTTCCAGTTTGACATATTCAAACTGATCACTTTCTTCTTCCAGGGTATATCTTTTGTCAAGGGGAATCATCAGCTTCCCAATGTACTCAGTGTTGATTACATGCATAGTCTCCCCTAGAAGTTTTTATAGACACATATCACACAATTGAAAGGACAATTTAAATAAAAACTAATAATAATTAATCCATAACAATAATTAATATTTTCTTAAACTTTAAAAAAAAAACTCTACATTTTATTGATAAGCATCAACAATATATTTGTAAAATTTTGCAAGACACCATATTTAAACGCAAATTTAACTGAACAGTAGACAAATGAATCAAGAATTCACTCTACAACTATCTATCAACATATATTGTGTGCATTAGTACACTCTAAAGACTTTAAATGTAGAAAAAATTAATTTTAACATTTGGTTCTTATTTAACCAAATACTAAAGCCTAATCACAAACCAATCCCTCATAATTAGTTATATATATATTATGTATATTAGCTGCATATGTATATGTGCAGGTACAGGTATATAACAAAACAAAGGTAAATAAATTCATGCACTCAGAACAGACCTAGAGCCTTCACAGAATGTGCAAAAATTATGATGTCATCTGTTGGTCCCGTATAACCCTCAGGTGGTTGGCTGAAGGAGACGTTGGGTGAACGGTAGTGATGGAGATCAATTAAAACAGCTGTGTGAACCATGGGCACGGCAAACACACCTTTTATTTGCCGCTCAACAATAGGGATGTATTGGTCGGTTCTTACATAGTAGCCCTAAAAGCAATCATCAATACAAGACTTATTATTTTAAAATTTATTAAATTTTAAGAGAAAAAAAGACTTGGGGAAAATAATTTCCTTTTAGTTTTGATGATAACTTCTAATTCATTTATTTTATAATATTCTTTTAAATTAAATATAATGATGTCTGTGCAGATGCATGTTTGTCCTGATTAAGTAATCTTTTAGTTTTAGCCCTGTCAAAAAATGAGTCTATATAAATAATATTCATGTGAGTTAGTAATATGCCAACTCTAACTCTTTCTAAAGACTTAAAAATTATGATTCTTTATCATATGAATCATAATTCATGAATTTAACCTGGCTAGTCATTTAAAGAGTTTAGTTTTTACGAAATATTTTGTTAACTTATCACTGAAGAACTGATAATAATTCAGATAAAACTAGTTGGAAACGAACTTGAAAAGACAAATACAAAAAACTCATATCCAGAATCTGGCAAGAAGAAGAAATTCCAAAAGAATGGGGTACTGTGCTCGTAATCCAAATTTACAAAAAAAGATCTAAACTAGATTTCTTAAATTTTAGAGGAATCTCCCTACTTAATGTAACAAAAAATCTTCATTAAACTAAACCAACAGAAAGAAAACTGGAAAGGTAACATGAATAGATTCTATGGGACTATCAATGTAAATTCCTACAGAATAGATCACGCACAGATTTCTTTACTATCAAATGTCTCCTGGAGAAATGCTACGAATACAACATCCCCATACACCAACTATACATGAACAACTAAAAAGCTTATGATAGTGTAGACAGAAAATATATGTATGATGCACTACAAGAATGGAGTTCCTAACAATCTAATCAGGCTCATAGCAATGAAAAGGGCTAACTCCAAAAGTAGAATCAAAGTACAGGGAAAATTATTTAAGGGAATTACTGATAAATCAGGGCTTTAGACAAGGAGATTCACTATCATGTATCCTGTTCAAAGTCACATATGAAAAAGTTATGAGAAACATACATGTGAGCACCAGTGGAACTGTCACCAACTACGTTCAGAAAAAGCATTACAGAACCACAACAATCAGGAACTTTATATAGTCAACCTTTGCAGTACCTGGCATATGGGTACGACATAGCTCTACTGGGCAGAAACAGCAATGATATAATTAATGCATTCAAGGAACTTGAATATGAATGAGTTAAAGCTGGTCTTGAGGTAAATGAAGTGAAGATAAAATATTTGGTAATGTCCCGAAACAAACATACTGGTGACCACATAAAAAAGAAACCACAACATTTGAGAGAGTGGCTACTTTTAAATATCTGGGAGCTATTATAATTGAGCACAATGAAATAATGACAGAGGTCATAGAAAGGATAACAGCAGGCAAATGTTCTTATTTCAGCATACAACAGCTACTAGGTAGCAAAAACCTCCCAGGAAGAGCATAGAAAACAATATACACCACTTTCATAAGATCAGTTGTAATTTACACAAATGAGACGTGGTCCTTATAAAAAAAAAAGAGAACCTGCTCATCACATGAGAGAGGAAAATCCTCAAGAAAATATACAGTCTGGTGATAGACAATGATCACTACAGAATTTGTACAAAGAAAGAGAGATATAAATTGTTCTAAGACCCACCAATAGTCGCAACATCTTGAGAGGATGCCCCATAGTGAGCAGCAAAAATAATCTACAGGCAGAAACCTAGGGGCAGTTGGCTCACCCGTTGACCAAGACTGAGATGAGGGTCAAGGCAGAGAGGGACTTACATCAGCTCGCAGCTCGAGGTCAACACAAGGAGGTGGAAAGCCATGGATTGATCCGAATGGAAGGATGTGGAGGAGCAGGCTAGGGCCCTACATGGGCTGTTGTGCCACTGATGACAATGCCAGAATGAAAGTATGTGGTGGAGCAGGCTAGGGCCCTACATGGGCTGTTGTGCCACTGATGACAATGCCAGAATGAAAGTATGTGGTGGAGCAAGATAGGGCCCTACATGGCCTGTAGCGCACTAATGATGTCAGAATGGAAGGATGTGGAGGAGCAGGCTAGGGCCCTACATGGGATGTAGCTTCACTGATAATATGGAAGGATGTGGTGGAGCAGGCTAGGGCCCATGTAGGGCCACTGATCACATATTTTGTTGAGCAGTTAAAGTTTTGTTTATCATGATGATAGACCTTTATTGGTAACTAGATGCACAAGCAGGGCTCAAATTAGTTCTATCAAAGCTTAGGGCTCAATTTAGCAGTTGCCCTTCTTGAACCCCTCTCTAAATCCTGAGCAAATGATGTTTACTTTTTTAACAGTTAATTGGTAAAGAATATAAACCTAATTTTCCATTTACTCATTTCATGAAAATATAAATAGTAAAAAAACTTTGAACTTTTTTTTAGTGATCATGTGAAGACTAAAATGATTTTAAAGTACATGGTTCATGTTTGGCATGGCACAGGCTAGCTATGAAATACTATTGTAATAACACACTAACAGCAAAGCCATAACAGTTAAAAAGACCTGATCTAATTGACATTTATAACGAGTAACATCAAACAAGCTTGAATCAAAGCCTACCTTCTCAGTCATGCCCGCCCAAAAATTAGAGTAGAATCCCTCCACCGATGAATTTAACATGGGGCCGATTATAAATCTATATAGCATCAAGAAAAAAAAGGAACCAAATTTCACCAAAAATGTCATAAAAGATAAATGCAGTGGATTCTGTTGACTTTCTCAGAAATAAACTGGGGCAGCACTTAGGGGACCAACAACCAAGCAAATAAACTAAACAAACAAATAAATTCTTAGCTTATTTGGGGTATCATGCAAGTTAATTGTTAAGAGATTGTGCCACTAGCTTGTCAGGCATAAAGCATTCTATACTGTTTTGTCTAGTTTTTTCTTTTAAACATCTTTGGGACAGATGCTAAATATGAAAAATAATCAAATTAACAGTTTGGGACATGCATAGACTAAAAGATACTATCTTTAAGATGAAGTAAGGTTAAACATGGAAAAAAGAACGCAACAAAATAACTAACAAAATGGCAGGAAGCCTTCGTCTGCGAACAAACAGAATAAAATTTAAAAATAGCACTTAGCTGAGAAGTAGTATCCAAGAGGGCAGCAAATGAAATGCAAATGAGGGCAGCAAATGAGTGCTCATTGACATTTCTGTTTTTCTGTTTGTTGGCTAACGAAGGTTTCCTGCGAACACTTTTGTTGTTTTGTTGCGTTCCTTTTTTCAGGTTTAACCTTACTTTGTTTTACTCACTTCCTATTGTGCTAACCTGATTGCAGTCTCCCCTTATTACCCTATCTTAAAGATGAGAGTGCTCCATTGCATTAAATTAAAACACTATTTAAAAATCTGAAGACTGTTACATATTTTTATTATAATTTTTGTCAGTTAAAATCTTAAATTTCACATGAATGATACCAAAATTCTTTTACCTCTTGCAATCTTTTGAATAGTACACATGTTTTGATTTTGTACAACCTAACTTCTATCAATAATAAAAGCATTTCCCTGTTTTGTCTTGTCTACTAAAGAAGGCTTTTAGCCAAAATGAGCTCCTTTTATTGTCCTGTCTTTTCATTTCAAGCTTCGACGTACCTTGTTCCACTATTTCTTTCCAAAATAAACAATTTTGGGAATGCAATCAGGAGCTTCTTAATCAAACACCTTCCTCTTTCCCAGATATCAATCTATAGTTCCCTTTTTATTATTTCTTTAACTTTTGCTGATGGTCAATATTATTTTAGCTGAATTAGCCCACTTTAAACTTCACCAAATGCCTCAATCCTGGAATGAATGTATCACTTTATCTGTGATTTCAATCAAATGAAATCTTAAACTGGCTAAAACTATAGGTAGTACAGCAAAATGATAGCAAAAATACTTGCATCTCATCCCTCTCTCCTAGTTCAAACAGACTTGTAAATTAGTATAGCTTGAGTCTGCTAGTATAGCAATTGAATAGGGTTTATTTTGATGCCAATTTCATTTGTATTGTTTCAAGAAATGTAAATATTTCTAATAAATAAGCAATGTCTTTGAGTTCTCTATCAAGAGAAGCAATTGTTTCTTCAAAATCTCCACAACATTTTCCAGTAGTGTGTAAAAGTTGATAATTTACTTGCCCATTAATAGAAAAAAACTTGAATATGACGCAGCTAATGCAGAAAATCCTCTTTATCCTCAACACTAAGCGTGAAAAGCAGTCAATCATTGAGAGCGTGGGGTTAAAATTCAATTTATTCAAAGTTTGCAATAAATGACACGATTGGTTAAGACATTCTGGACATTTTTCTCCACATAAGCAACACACCACGGTTATAACCAGCCATGGGTGGTGATCACCCGGGTGCAATAGCATGTGACTAATCTGAATTTTCTTGCTCTTGAAGAACTGCCCAAAAACCCAATATTGCCAACTCCTTCCGTATATGTCCCCCCCCCCCCTTTCCGGTCGACAAGTCTGAAGTGGCTTGCCGATTTGGAGGCGTTGGCCACCAGACCCCATCAACATTAACCCGGGGAACAGGACCTCCATTGCGTGGGCAAAGGCATGCATTATACCTGCCGGAATAAAAGCAGCTCCTACAAGGCTGCCAGCTGCAACATTTCACATTTGGAGGTAAAGGCAGAGACAGGGTGGGGATTACAAGTTGCTGTTAATGGATATGAGGCGAGAGGCTAAGGTGGAGGTCTCTTGCCGATGACTCTAACTATGCAGCCCTGAGAAAGCTGCTCCAAAGCAACCGTTTCATCTCAGCTACTTCAAAAATTAGTTGCGTGGTGGAAACCCACTGTAGGAAACTCTTTTAGAGAGCATCCGACGCTTCCCCGGGATGGTTGGGGGAAGATATTAGAGTCAGTTGCAAACGCTTTCAACACAGTGTTTTCAGGTCGACCTGACATCCCCAGGCGGGGAAAGCTATTTGCAAGTCCGATTGAGGGGCCACGAGTGGGGGCGGTCCAGGCCAGGGGGGAGGTTCCCGGCAGGCCGCCGCATGGGGTATTAAGAGCTCACGTTCGAAGGCCCACCGACGCCATTTCCCAATTGAACATATTTAGTATGTGCTTCTAGCCATCTTGTAAATAGACAACACTAGATCCAAACTTCCTTGAAACAAAGATTTATTAGTAGGAAAGTCAGTTCATTCCATTGTAATCAAAACTCTGTCAACTATCTTCCATGTTCTTAGACTTTATGTCCATGAACTCAGAACCCCACTAATTGCTGATAGAATGAGTTCTTCAACAATTGTTTGTTACTTTCTTGATTTAGCAGTTAACAATGCAATATTATATTATATGATGCATGAAAGTCATCTGCAATTTGATGAGAAGCATAAAAAAAATGTCTTTAAAGTATTCTAAAGACTACAGCTTTTGCGAATATCATTTTAAACTACAAGGCATTAATGAATTGTTGTTAATGGCCGTTAGTATTTCTGTTTGAAAATTAGATCCAAGTTTTTTTCTATCAACTTTTTTACACCTTTATTTTATCATCGACTCTTATTTGATGCAGACAATCAGAACAGTGTATAAACTTTTTCAAAAGAAATATTTTATACCAATTAAAAAGCATATTCTTGATAAAGTACCCCTAAACTCTCCCAAGCCTTTCAGTGCCCCCTTGGATATTCCACCACCCACTTTGAGATCTCTTGAAATAAATAATACTTTATTTACAGAAATTTTGCAAGAAATATCAACTGTAAACCAAACATGCAGATCACTATTGTAAAAAAACATTCTACCACAAAAAAATCCCTAGAAAAGGTAGCAATATAGTGATTATAAATTTAATACCAAAGCAAGGGTTTGAAGAATAAATACTCACTTCTTCTGTCCCATAAGAATTTGTAGTGTTTTTTCATTCTCGAGGGTGACATCAGCATCAACCATCTACAGATATAAAAATATAAAGTACATTCTGTTCTCAATAAATGTATATATCAACAATGAAAAGAGCTTATTTACTTATGGCACACTTTCTCAAGATCAATTAGTTTTGACTTTCAAAAACGACAAGACACACTCAGCATTTACAACAAACCAAGTGTAATTTAACCTGTAATTTTATGGTAGATTTATAAGCCCTGAAATGAAATATTTTTCAAATAATTGATTTAAAATTAAAAGCACTAAGTAATAATTGTTTTTCAGAAATTTCAAAAAGTACAAAAACTAGTGCATTGCGACCAGATATAGCCCATAATTATCGCAGGTAAGCATAACAAATACTTGGTCAACAGATAAACATAACTATTATTGTAGTTACATAAAATCTCATCTGTGTCACCTCAACCAAATTGTTTTAAATAAAAGAATCTTCAGAGAAGTAAATTAAATATTGCTGATATACAAGAATAATTTACTAGATTTTCTAACTACCAAATTCAAAATATTTACTTTTTAAGTGCAATCAAATAGCTTTGACATTTTTACACTACATATTGGTTGATCTAAGATCTGTAGATAAGATAAAGCCACTAATAACACAAGTAAAAGATACATTCAAACATATTTAAACAAAAACATGTTAAGTAATAGCCTGATGTGTTTAAAACTAAGCCAGCATCTAGATTAAACTTACAAATATATAATCTGCCCAAATACTTCTTGCATAGTTCAAAGCCTTTTCTCTCAGCTTGATAACATGAGCAAATCTTTGTCCAGTCCAATCACATGGAGATTCTTCATCAGGGTATCCTTCAAAGAAAAAAATACTTCAATGTGTTTTCCTACAACTTTCCATATGACCCAACCTTATCAGCAATTTTTAGGAGGCTAGAAAGATTTTAAATGTCAGTAAAAAAACAAAGCAAAATACACCACTATCATAAGATCAGTTGTAAGTTACGTAAGTGAGACTTGGGAGAAATAATTTGAAGACATGGAGATTTTGTGAATATGGATTAAAATATATTTTATTAAAGGTAGGTAAAATATGATTGAAACAAAAGTAAGGAAGTAAATCATAAATAAATATTGCCTGTGATTTAAAAAAACTGTCTAATATCTAACCGCACCTATTAATGTGATCACAGTTGTTTTTTCAAATCAATACATTTGTCTAGGATAAGAGGATGCATTCAACCTTATTTGCATCAATCCATTACTACCATTTTCAATTACTCTCATCTTTAACAAAGTTTCAATTTGCTTTTTTATTACAGATGTTTTTAACAGTCAAACACCCTACTCTAGAAAAAAGTGAGCTTGATGCATATCTAAGAAGTATGACTTGAAGTAATATTATTTTTCTAGAGCAGCGGTTCCCAATCTGAACTCCACATACAATTCTCAGGGGTTTGGCATCCGCTCAAGGAAACTCCTGAAAACTACTAACTTGTGAGATGTAAGATAGGCCTAGGGGGCTTGCTTATATAAATTAATTCTAAATAGGGAAGAGGCTCTGCAAGTAAAAAAAGGTTTGAAACCACTGCTCTAGAGTGCTCTAAAATTTTAATAAATTACTTTACCTTCTCTGGTATCATCTACCTTGTATTCTACTTGATGGTACAAGTGGGTAACAGCAGAGAGCCACTCCTTGAGAATTGCAGATGAATTGTCAATATTATGATCACTTTCAATCCTGCAAAAACAAAAATTCTAAGGATTACTATCAAATATTCAGGATAAGGTAATACGGGGAGAGACTGCAATCAGGTTAGCAAAATAGGAAATGAGTAAAACAAAGAAAGGTTAAAAGTGAAAAAAGGAATGCAACAAAACAACGAACGTGTCGGCAAGAAGCTGTCGTCAGTGAACAAACAACAGAAAAAACAAAATCTATAAAAAAAAATCTGGGTGAATTCGGAACACAAGCTCATGTCTCTATTCACAACTTGAGCCTAGCTCTGCCCCTCAACATACGACCTATCGCAGTGGACTAACTTCTCTTATCTTTCCCTCTTCCCTATTTAATCTCTCACCCACTTATTTTCTATCACAATTCTTTTGCTGCAGTCTCCAATGCTACTTGTCAGCTAAGTGCTATTTTTTAATTAATTTTTTTTTATTCTGTTTTTTCTGTTGTTTGCTCGCTGACGAAGGCTTCCTGCCGAAACGTTTGTTGTCTTGTTGCGCTCCTTTTTTCAGGTTTAATCTTACTTTGTTTTACTTATTTCCTAAATATTCAGAATAACATGAATGTTGCATATTTTTGCCTCAACATTCAACACTTGGCTACTTTAGCTGAATTATACTATCTCATGGTAGCCTTACAGTGTTCATTAGTTACGTTAGGCTAGAAAATCTACAAAGCACATGCAAGAAGATGCTTGCCCTTATAATATTATTGATATTAATATAACCAGGCCGTGCCTACTCATAATTTGTAATCTCGAGTCAATATAATATTCTGAGGTACAGGATAATAAAATGATATGTCTTTCCTTTTAGCATACTATCCCTCTAAGACTAAGACGATAAATTAAAGACAAATGAATTTTGAAACTGCAAGGAGCTGGGAATTTTTATTTTTTAAGGCGAAACACTGATTCTGATAATAACCTAGTTTGGTAAATTAAAAATTGGAAGAATCCATTTTAACAATGAAATTATGATACCTGATTTGCGGGTTTCATTATCAGTACTGACATACCTAATTATCATAATTATAGAATAGACTGAGGGTGAAAATATAAAAACTAGTATTAAATGTGAAGATAATGATATAAATACAATACTAGGTCCATTTCAATAACAGTAACAGTCACAGTTTTTTTTTTTGTGTTTTTTTTTTACAGACAGCGAAAAGTTTTTGTTATCACAGTATAATAATAATATAGAACTCTTCTGTGTTACGTAAGAAAGAGTAAAGTGAAGTAAAGAGGTGATAATTGTCAAGTGTACTCCAAATTTATCAAATAATAATTTACCAATTATTTATTATGAAATTAGGGTAAAAAGCTTTAGTTTACCATAAAGCAATTCGGGATTTTGGGTAATCAAGTTTTTCTATTAAACCCAAAAACCATGGCAAACTGTGTGCTTTATTTCTGATTAAAGTTGCTATTACTACTGTTGGCAAAAGATTCAAGCTGTCATCTGCTTTAACATATGAAGATTTCCTACTTAAATTGTTTTCTACATTTTGTACCAGGAAAAATAATGACAAACATAAGATTAAATATTTTATTTTCAGTGGACACGTCAAGATGTACGTCGCCATCTTGAGGTTCCTTAAATACCGAGATAAGACAGTGTTGTGATGAAATTGCGAGATAAGCTTCCTAGACATATTTTAGGTAGAAAGAACTTTTGGGGGTCGAGCTCCGCTCCGGTTAATTAACAAAATTAATTTTAAATAGAATAATAGGTTTGAACCGATTAATCTGTAGATTGAAAGTATTAAGTGATGATTTGCTGCTAATCTGTCTTTTACGACCAAACATGATTTGACAATGAAATCATGATACCTGATTTGCAGGGTTTCATGATCGATACTGACATACCTAATTATTATAATTATAGAATAGACTGTTATAATGATTTTTTACCACATCCATATGCTTCACTTATTAACAACATTATTGATGTGCAGCTAAATAAACCGTTGCTTACTTAGAATGTAATGCATTCAAAGGATCAAGATTATTATTTGATCTAGGAAAAGGATGTGACTGAAAGGGTGTCTAAATGTGTTTATTATTGTGACTAGCCCATCTTCTTAAATAGGCACTAGAATTGCATGTAGAGCAGGGGTCTCAAAATTAAATCATCCGGGGGCCGCAGGAGGTAGAGCCTGAGTGAGACTGGGCCGCATCAAGTATTCCAAACAAAACAAAAAAGCGATTACAAATTCAATAAAATACAACTGTCACAATCTGCTGAATCTTTATTAATAAAAAATAAAAACATTAAGGGTTCTCAAGAACTAGGCTTCACTTTTTTCCTCCTAATCCTTGTTGCTAGAGACCTGGCAGTGCTTCTTCTTACACAGCTGAACACAATTTGGCTTGAATGACGAAGCAACTGAGACCCTCAGTAGGCATATAGTTTGAAGATGCTCATTAGTAAATTTGGCCCTGAACTTTGACTTGTTAAAGTTCATGGTGGAAAAGAGCTTTTCGCGGATAGGTACACCCAAAAAGGCACATGATCCACTTGAACAACATGGAAATCTCAGGGAATGTGGAGGACAATGCTCTCATAAATTGTCCATGCTAGTCTGTTTCTCCATTCGCCTCCCTGAACTTAGAATTGCACCGAAGATCAATCAGCTCCATTTGAAGCGGAAAAAAAAAAAAAAAAAAAAAAAAAAAGTGGGTCAGGGGCATCTTACACATTCAAGAAGAAAATGTCAGCAAAAAGTTGAAAGTGGCTCTGTGTGTTTTGAAGTCCAATGACATGTGATCACATTGTTCCTGTAGCTTTGCAATGGCATCTGTACACTTACTACTGAATGGTGTGCCCGATTCCATGAGTACTTTACATGTTGGGAAATGACAGAGGTTTCTCTGAGAACCATAACACAAGTTTTGTACAGTGTACAGAATGCCCTGACATTGTCATAGGCAACCCTGACAAGCTTCCCCTGGTCTTGTAACTTCTTGTTGAGTACATTCAGCTCATGTGTAATGTTAACAAGAAAATCAAAGTCCATGGGCCATTTGGAATCACTTTTTAGGGAGAATGAATTTTTAATTTTTTTTTATCGTCGAAACGGCCTTTTTGACTAACCCCATTTTGAAAGTGACCAATAAGCTGACAGGCTTGGAATTTTACCTCTTTCGTAAACACTAACAGCAATTTTAATAGGAATTCATTGATACTGTATCTGATTGCTACGATTTACACAATTATGGTTGTGAATTAACCACTAAATGGCCTTTTAAATGTTTCCCAAAACAGAAATTTTGCCATGTTTGTCTCATAAATGCTATAAAATAAAAACTTTTAGTCCGATTTCAAAATGGTAGTTACAGTTATAATGAACGTCTAAATCTATACAAACATAATAAAAATTAGAATTAGAATAGTCAGTGATATTCGACTGAAACAGCCGCGGAAGGTGACATTATAGATATGAGAAGACTGAAACTGTCGTGGAGGATCACATCATAGATATGAGAACGGGGCCGCATTAACACTTAACTTTTCTGTCATGTAGGGGCCTAGCTGGTCGCAAAATATCGTCTTGCGGGCCGCAAATGGCTCTCGGGCCGCTAGTTTGAGACCCCTGTTGTAGAGGAACATAACTGTATAAGAGTGGGGAAGCACAGATGGTAGAAGAGAGGGGCATTAATTTTAATACATATATATTATATTTAAAGTACAATTAATATTTTTTGTTCTTTTTAAAATTAATTTGATAATATTTTGAAACCCGTGTTAGCCTATAGCAAGTGTGTTGACCTAATTGGTGCTTTAACCACTTGTCTCGCCCCCTCCCTTTTTATGATATCGACAGCACCTAATATATGTGTAGCCCTGTACCACTCCATCATCTCCATTGATTGGGAAAAGGTTATTTACATTCTAATTTGTTCAAAAGAATTATATTGGATGATGCGATTTCTAGTATTTCTTTTCTGGAAGATTCCTACTTCATCCTTATAAATAAAATGGCAGCTTTCCCAGCCGGGAGAAATGTTTGCTAACTTTCCTAGACATTTATGAGACGTAATATACTTATAGGAGTCTTAAAATATAGTAATCTTTGTGTAAGTATATATATATAAATAAATATCTTTAGGCGATTATACCTTTTCACTTGCTGTGCAAGGGGTCGTCCATTAATTACGTCAACAAATTTTACGCAATTTTGACCCCCTACCCGCTATACAGCGTGGCCCCCAAAAAGGTGATAACATCGCTTTTTTTGTCAGACGCATAAAAAAGGCGCCAACGCCTTCGTTCAGAAGCAGGGGGAGAGGGGGACAGATTGAACATGTTTTTTTATTAGCGTAATAATTTTCACACAACTGTCAATGGCAAAAACATTATATTGAATCAATTATAAAACCCTTTGTTACGAGATTTTCTAATTTTTTTCTGGTCCACCCTGTATAAGACCACTGAATAAAATAGAAGCATTGTCAGTGTGAGTCATAATTGCCATTAGCTCTCTCTATCTCCTTGCAGCTACTAGTACTAGCAATGGTCGAATCCTTTTTTGTAGAGGAGCGGGTCCTAATTTCTTATGCTACACGTTTCTAGAAGACCCACTCTTATAGAGGCGTCATGATTTACATATTTTTAATGAATTTTGAACGATTTTGATCATTTAATTTAGATTAAATTTCCCAATTTTAACCCACGATATCGATCAGCACATTCTAAAATTAATATTATAAATGCGAATCAAAGTTGGACATTTTAAAACATTTAAAGGGGAATAACTCCCGTCAACACGTTTTTTCTTTTCTATGAATCGGAAAAAAAAATAAGGTAAGAATCGTCTTCGCAGTACAATGGGACAAAAACATTTGAACTGGCTTTCACTTGTGTGCATGAAAAATGACATCCTTAAGACCATTGACTTTAAACCAATAATACCCCAATAATTATATAGGCCTAATAATGATAATGTATCAACCTCTGTGGTTATTTATTATCCCTATATACTATATAGTATAGTCTATAGTCATAGTGAAGTCATAGTCATAGTTTATTTCTAGTTCTTGGTAAAAACTAAAAATTATTGATTTTGAATGATTTTGTTTTTTGTATTATTAATTTGAATTCATTGAGGTTTCACTTTCTTCTTGAATATTTATTTTACATTTTTATTCCTCTTTGTGAGTTGGTTGAGCCTGGCCCGCCCCGCGAATGCCTCCATTCGCCCCCTTCAGGTATGTTGTGTTGCTAGGGGGGCCTCAATGCATTGCTGTAGGCAGGTACAAGTCTCCATCATGATAGGATATTTTAATATTTAGCAATTAAGGGAGTTTTCAAATTCATTCATGGAGTGGTCCCAACTGGTTTTATTTACATAACATATCAGCTCAAAAACTATTTAAATCATAGAAATATAAGAATGTATCTTAGATAGCTGAGACAAAAATGAAAAGGACGTATTGAAGACTTTAGGGATTTGGTCCGGAATATTAACTTTTACTCAGGGTTTGTCACCAGGGTTTGTCATTTTACCACAGGAAATGTGCCAGTAGGCGAGTAAGAGACCGTCTTAGTCGGGGCGTGACGTACAAGCTTTCTAGTCTGTTCTCGCGTGACTATTTAAGGCGGGCACACAAAGGAGTTTTTTATTCAAGCTTTTGACAGCATCCCTGAAGTGTGCCAGTGTTCACCTCGGCCCATTTGAATGCTCTGTAAGTAAAAGCAAATATACCTTTATATTTCTGTGTTTGTCGAACGCCATTGTTATGTGTTGTGTAATGGAATATTCCTATTCATGACTTATATTAAGCAGTTTTTAATCACTTTTTAGCTCCGTCAGTTTGACATGCCACCATGATATCGTGATGGTTGAACATACAGCTGTTCACTGAATTCTTAAATGGAATTAGATACCAGTGTATGTGAGCATAATACACAACCATTATATTGTTCTGGTTACACATACTGCAATGTGCTTATAAGCTATTGATACAACAGTATATGACCAGCGAATATACATAAAATTTGTGTAATAGGCTAACTCTCCTGCCTTGTGCTAAATTCTCACATAGAAAATGGTGCATGTGTTACCAGCAGTATTATATAATTAGACATTTCACAATTTTGCTTTTGTCTTAAAAAGTTACAGCAATTGAGTGATGCAAGTATCAACTAACAGTGGTTATACCTTACACCATTGTAGTACCTGTCCTGCTACGGGTGCATCTTACACAGACACCTTATATGGACAAAAGTACCATACTAATTTCTAGACCTTTATGTTAGCCCTCACATCTCCCACTGGTTATGTGTGTAAGATGGTGTACATGCTACAATTTAAACACTGCCACGTGATTTCCTTAATAGTAATTAAACATTATTAAAACAATATAATTTTCATTGCCATTTGTATAACAAATAACATGTACATATACTCCATTCTTAGTTAAGTATATTTGTTCACCACTTGTAATTACCTAGCTATTTAACATGTTTATTGTTAGCCGTGTTATTCATTGTTAGTCATGACATGGTTAACCTGTATTATTTGTTTCTTTTCAGATATTGTCCTTTTTCTTTGGGCTTTTTCTTAGGCTTTTTTCTTTAGCCCTTTTTCTTCA